GAAATCCCACTACGACCTCCGAGAAGCCATCAAACAGGCAAAGCGTCAATACAGGACTAAGATCGAATCCTACTATGCCGGCTCTGACGCTCGTCAGATGTGGCAGGGATTGCAAACTATTACGGATTACAAAGGGAAAGCCAGCCGCGAGCTGACCAGTGACACGAGCCTACCAGACGAGCTAAATGCCTTCACTTCGAGGCAAGCAACACTGAACCATGGATGAAAGCACCAGCTGTTTGGGACAACTGTGTGATCTCGCTCTCTGTAGCCGATGTGAGTAATACCTTTGAACAGGTTAACCTTTACAAGGCCGCAGGGCCAAACGGATTACCAGGACGTGTACTCAGAGCATGCGCTGACCAGCTGGCGGGTGTCTTCACTGACATTTTCAATGACTCCCTGACCCAGTCTGTAATATCTACATGTTTTAAGCAGACCACCATAGTCCCTGTGCCCAAGAATGCCAAGTTAACTTGTCTAAATGACTATCACGTCGTAGCAGTCGTATTTGTAGCCATGAAATGCTTTGAAAGGCTGGTCATGGCCCACATCAACACCATCATCCCAGACACCCTGGACCCATTCCAATTCACATACCACCCGAACAGATCCACAGATGACGCAATTTCTATTGCACTCCACACTGCCCTTTCCCACCTGGACAAGAGGAACACCTATATGAGAATGCTGTTCATTGACTACTGCTCATTGTTCAACACCATAGTGCCCTCCAAGCTCATCACTAAGTTCAGGACCCTGGGACTTAACACCTCCCTCTGCAACTGGATTCTGGAATTCCTGATGGGCCGCCCACAGGTGGTGAGGGTATGCAACAACACATCTGCCACCCTGTTCACCCACGACTGCGTGGCAGCGCACGACTCCAACACCATCATTAACTTTGCTGACGGCACGACGGAGGTAGGCCTGATCACCGATGATGAAGAGACCACCTATAGGGAGGAAGTCTGTGACCTGGCAGTGTGGTGTCAGGACAACAACCTCGACAGGACTGTAGTGGAGCGGGTCAAGAGCTTCAATTTCCTCGGTGTCAACATCACTAAGGAATCAACATGGTTCAAACACACCAACACAGTCGTGAAGAAGGCACGACAATGCCCCTTCCCCCTCAGGAGGCTGAAAAGATTTGGCATGGGCCCTCAGATCCTCAAAAGGTTCTACAGCTGCACCATTAAGAGCGTCTTGACTGGCTGCATCACCGCCTGGTACGGCAGCTGCAAGGCACCCGACCGCAAGGCGCTACAGAGGGTGGTGAGTACGACCCAGTACAACATTGTCAAGACTCTAGCCACCCAAGTCACAGACTGTTGTCTCTTCTACCGCACGGCAAGCGGTACCGATGCACCAAGTCTGGAACCAACAGGACCCTGAACAGTTTATACCCCTAAGCCATAAGACTACTAAATAGTTAACCAAATAGCTACAGGGACTAGTTGCATTGACCCTCTTAGCACCAACTCTTTTGACTCATCACATACACTGCTGCTATTGTTTATTATCTATCCTGTTACCTAGTCACTTTACCCCTACCTATATGTACATATCTACCTCAATTACCATGTACCCCTGCACATCGACTCGGTACTGGTACCCCGTGTATATAGCCAACTTATTGTTACTCATTGTGTATTTATTCCTCGTGTTTTAATTATTTTTCTATATTTTTCTCTGTTGTTTACAAAGCATGTGATAAATAAAAATTGATTTGATTTTCTAGGGCAGCAGTTTTCCAATATGGCCGCCAACCAGCTCCATGGCTGTATTTCCATAGATAATTGCTATGTAATGCCCACTGATGGCTTAAAATGCGATGTGGAGAACACAATCAAATAACCAAAATATGCACACAATTATTTTGGCCATCCAGCTCCATGGGGCCAAATTAGAGCAGTTTCACCTGTCTGAATAACATTGATTGTCATTTGTCATTCTGCTTATTCACTCACAATCCCTAATGCACTTAAAAAGAACAGTTGAATATTGTATTTATCCATTAATTAATTATCCATTAATGATAAGAGGTCTGTTTCGATAGGAATCTACAGTGTGTCATAAAGACAGCTTTATTGTGGCTTTAAAGTATGAAAAGAAGTTAGAACATCCACTGATGTCATCTCAACACGTAAACTGATAAAAAGACGATTAAAGGGAAGTTGGTCAAACATTGACTTTCTTCTCTTTGGTATTGTCAAGATGTATTCTTCCACCTTGGACATGGTTAGTGTATGCAGGAATATGTCTTGTGTGAGTAGAGACATGAATGCACAGATTACAGGAGATGTATTCGTGTGTGTTTGTCTTTGTTGGTATTTGATCAGATGGTTTTGGTCTAGAGACCGATTCAGACCACATCCTGGGTCTTTGTCTCAATACACTGGATCTTGTTCTTAGTCTGGGTCTGCAGGGGTTGGGACTTGGCCTGGTTCTATATTTTTGAGGCCTCCTCTCTTGACTCCATCTATGAAGCTATGTACAGTGGGGAAAAAAGTATTTAGTCAGCCACCAATTGTGCAAGTTCTCCCACTTAAAAAGATGAGAGAGGCCTGTAATTTTCATCATATGTACACGTCAACTATGACAGACAAAATGAGAATAAAAAATCCAGAAACTCACATTGTAGGATTTTTAATGAATTTATTTGCAAATTATGGTGGAAAATAAGTATTTGGTCAACTTCAAACAAGCAAGATTTCTGGCTCTCACAGACCTGTAACTTCTTCTTTAAGAGGCTCCTCTGTCCTCCACTCGTTACCTGTATTAATGGCACCTGTTTGAACTTGTTATCAGTATAAAAGACACCTGTCCACAACCTCAAACAGTCACACTCCAAACTCCACTATGGCCAAGACCAAGGAGCTGTCAAAGGACACCAGAAACAAAATTGTAGACCTGCACCAGGCTGGGAAGACTGAATCTGCAATAGGTAAGCAGCTTGGTTTGAAAAAATCTACTGTGGGAGCAATTATTAAGAAATGGAAGACATACAAGACCACTGATAATCTCCCTCAATCTGGGGCTCCACGCAAGATCTCACCCCGTGGGGTCAAAATGATCACAAGAACGGTGAGCAAAAATCCCAGAACCACACGGGGGGACCTAGTGAATGACCTGCAGAGAGCTGGGACCAAAGTAACAAAGCCTACCATCAGTAACACACTACGCCGCCAGGGACTCAAATCCTGCAGTGTGAGACATGTCCCCCTGCTTAAGCCAGTACATGTCCAGGCCCGTCTGAAGTTTGCTAGAGTGCATTTGGATGATCCAGAAGAGGATTGGGAGAATGTCATATGGTCAGATGAAACCAAAATATAACTTTTTGGTAAAAACTCAACTCGTTGTGTTTGGAGGACAAAGAATGCTGAGTTGCATCCAAAGAACACCATACCTACTGTGAAGCATGGGGGTGGAAACATCATGCTTTGGGGCTGTTTTTCTGCAAAGGGACCAGGACGACTGATCCGTGTAAAGGAAAGAATTAATGGGGCCATGTATCGTGAGATTTTGAGTGAAAACCTCCTTCCATCAGCAAGGGCATTGAAGATGACACGTGGCTGGGTCTTTCAGCATGACAATGATCCCAAACACACCGCCCGGGCAACGAAGGAGTGGCTTCGTAAGAAGCATTTCAAGGTCCTGGAGTGGCCTAGCCAGTCTCCAGATCTCAATCCCATAGAAAATCTTTGGAGGGAGTTGAAAGTCTGTGTTGCCCAGCGACAGCCCCAAAACATGGTCCTCTGTAGCTCAGCTGGTAGAGCACAGCGTTTGTAACGCCAGGGTAGTGGGTTCGATCCCCGGGACCACCCATACACAAAAAATAAATAATATATGCACGCATGACTGTAAGTCGCTTTGGATAAAAGCGTCTGCTAAATATTATATTATTATTATTATATTACATCACTGCTCTAGAGGAGATCTGCATGGAGGAATGGGCCAAAATACCAGCAACAGTGTGTGAAAACCTTGTGAATACTTACAGAAAACGTTTGACCTGTGTCATTGCCAACAAAGGGTATATAACAAAGTATTGAGAAACTTTTGTTATTGACCAAATACTTATTTTCCACCATCATTTGCAAATAAATTCATTAAAAATCCTACAATTTGATTTTCTGGAGAAAATAAATCTCATTTTGTCTGTCATAGTTGACGTGTACCTATGATGAAAATTACAGGCCTCTCTCATCTTTTTAAGTGGGAGAACTTGCACAATTGGTGGCTGACTAAATACTTTTTTTCCCCACTGTAGATACAAAAACCCTAGATAACATGGTTTTGGAGTGTGGTTTAATATTATTGCTGTCCATTTATCTCAGATTGTTTATGAACTTTTATTTATAAATCCCAATGTTGCCCTGAGTACAACATTTCTCACTATCAGGAAGAGAAATGTACATTACAAATAAAACAAGAAGAATATAAAATAACCACAACTTCAACAAATAAGCCAGATTTTACATTTTTACGTCATTTAGCAGATGCTCTTGTCCAGAGCGACTTACATTATTATTATTTTTCATACCCCCTGTGGGAATCGAACCCACAACCCTGGCGTTGCAAACACCATGCTCTATCAACTGAGCTACATCCCTGCCGGCCATTCCCTCCCCTACCCTGGACGAATTGCGCGCCTCCCCATGGGTCTCCCGGTCACGGCTAGCTACGACAGAGCCTGGATTCGAACCAGGATCTCTAGTGGCACAGCTTGCACTGCGATGCAGTGCCTTAGACCACTGCGCCACTCAGGAGACTGATGAATGCACCCAAAGCGTTCCTAATCAAACCTGTTCCCACTGTCCTCCATACTGTAATAGGCAGATAGCAGTCAGCTAGTACAAAGCTATAGTCACTGTCCTTCTCTTCCTTTGTCAAGACGCCTTGATTTCACATGCACAAACGAATGATTGATTTCCCTATTTGAACTGAAGAGGTTTTTCTGATGGCAGGAGGATGCACATGTGTATGTGTGTGTGCATGTGTGTGTGCATGCGTACAACCTTTCCTGTGACCATAAAACTTGCATTAGCTCACTGCACTTACAGCTAGACATAAGCTCAGCAGGCTAACCCAGTCTTTGGATAATGTATGTGTTCCAGACAGTATGCCAGCGGAGCCGGGCCTGTCCCCGGCTGACGTAGTGAATGCTAACTGTGCTATCTGTGGAGACAAGGCTACAGGGAAACACTACGGAGCCTCCAGCTGTGACGGATGTAAAGGCTTCTTCAGACGCTCCATACGCAAGAACCACGTCTACTCCTGCAGGTAGGTGTGTGTGCCCGTGTGTTCAGCTTTCAGCTGCAGCCACCAGAGACTGTGTCTATTATAACAACAAACATAACATGAGATATTAACGTTACTGTAATCATTACACTGCTGCAGGTACAGAAGTCACTAGTTGGTAATGCTGGAACGAACAGAACTACAAGGCAGGCCCGTAGAGTTCAGATATTGACAGTGATCCTGTGTGTTGTATCTGTCTGTGCGTCTCCAGGTTTAACCGTCAGTGTGTGGTGGACAAGGACAAGAGGAACCAGTGTCGGTTCTGCAGACTCCACAAGTGTTTCAGAGCTGGCATGAAGAAAGAAGGTCGGCCACATCAAACCAGTACTACTGAATACCAATACAATACCATTAATGTACAGGCTTTTGTTCCAGCCCAGCACTAACTCTGTACTCTCAAATGAAACGTATTACATGATGAAAAGAGAAGTAGTAAGTGTGAGGAGGGAATCAGGACTGGGAGGTTGAAACTATGGATACTGGGTAGCTGGGAGGCTGAAACTATGGATACTGGGTAGCTGGGAGGCTGAAACTCTGGATAATGGGCAGCTGGGAGGCTGAAATTCTTGATACTGGGTAGCTGGGAGGCTGAAACTATGAATACTGGGTGGCTGGGAGGCTGAAACTATGGATAATGGGCAGCTGGGAGGCTGAAATTCTGGATACTGGGTAGCTGGGAGGCTGAAACTATGAATACTGGGTGGCTGGGAGGCTGAAATTATGGATACTGGGAGGCTGGGAGACTGAAACTGTGGATACTAGCTGGTTGGGAGGCTGAAACTATGGATTCTGGGAAGTTGAAACTATGGATACTAGGTGGTTGGGAGGCTGAAACTATGGATACTAGGTGGCTGGGAGGCCGACACTATGGATACTGGGTGGCTGGGAGGCTGAAACTATGGATACTGGGTGGCTGGGAGGTTGAAACTATGGATACTAGGTGGCTGGGAGGCTGAAACTATAGATACAGGGTGGTTGGGAGGCTGAAACTATGGATACTATTTGGCTGGGAGGTTGAAACTATGGATACTGGGTGGCTGGGAGGTTGAAACTTTGGATGCCGGGTGGCTGGGATGTTGAAACTATGGGTGCTTGGTGGTTGGGATGCTGAAACTATGGATGCTGGGTGGCTGGGAGGCTGAAACTATGGATGATGGGTGGCTGTGAGGTTGAAACTATGGATACTGGGTGACTGGGAGGTTGAAACTATGGATACTGGGTGGCTGGGATTTTGAAATTATGGATGCTGGGTGGCTGGGAGGCTGAAACAATGGATACTGGCTGGTTGGGAGGCTGAAACTATGGATTCTGGGAAGTTGAAACTATGGATATTAGGTGGTTGGGAGGCTGAAACTATGGATGATGGGTGGCTGTAAGGTTGAAACTATGGATACTGGGTGGCTGGGATTTTGAAATGATGTATGCTGGGTGGCTGGGAGTGTGAAACTATGGATACTGGGTGGCTGGGATTTTGAAATGATGTATGCTGGGTGGCTGGGAGGGTGAAACTATGGATACTGGCTGGTTGGGAGGCTGAAACTATGGATTTTGGAAAGTTGAAACTATGGATACTAGGTGGTTGGGAGGCTGAAACTATGGATGATGGGTGGCTGTGAGGTTGAAACTATGGATACTGGGTGGCTGGGAGGTTGAAACTATGGATACTGGGTGGCTGGGATTTTGAAATTCTGGATACTGGGTGGCTGGGAGGCTGAAACTATGAATACTGGGTGGCTGGGAGGCTGAAACTATGGATACTGGGAGGCTGGGAGACTGAAACTGTGGATACTAGCTGGTTGGGAGGCTGAAACTATGGATTCTGGGAAGTTGAAACTATGGATACTAGGTGGTTGGGAGGCTGAAACTATGGATACTAGGTGGCTGGGAGGCTGACACTATGGATACTGGGTGGCTGGGAGGCTGAAACTATGGATACTGGGTGGCTGGGAGGTTGAAACTATGGATACTAGGTGGCTGGGAGGCTGAAACTATAGATACAGGGTGGTTGGGAGGCTGAAACTATGGATACTATTTGGCTGGGAGGTTGACACTATGGATACTGGGTGGCTGGGAGGTTGAAACTTTGGATGCCGGGTGGCTGGGATGTTGAAACTATGGGTGCTTGGTGGTTGGGATGCTGAAACTATGGATGCTGGGTGGCTGGGAGGCTGAAACTATGGATTCTGGGAAGTTGAAACTATGGATATTAGGTGGTTGGGAGGCTGAAACTATTGATGATTGGTGGCTGTAAGGTTGAAACTATGGATACTGGGTGGCTGGGATTTTGAAATGATGTATGCTGGGTGGCTGGGAGGGTGAAACTATGGATACTGGGTGGCTGGGATTTTGAAATGATGTATGCTGGGTGGCTGGGAGGGTGAAACTATGGATACTGGCTGGTTGGGAGGCTGAAACTATGGATTTTGGAAAGTTGAAACTATGGATACTAGGTGGTTGGGAGGCTGAAACTATGGATGATGGGTGGCTGTGAGGTTGAAACTATGGATACTGGGTGGCTGGGAGGTTGAAACTATGGATACTGGGTGGCTGGGATTTTGAAATTCTGGATACTGGGTGGCTGGGAGGCTGAAACTATGAATACTGGGTGGCTGGGAGGCTGAAACTATGGATACTGGGAGGCTGGGAGACTGAAACTGTGGATACTAGCTGGTTGGGAGGCTGAACTATGGATTCTGGGAAGTTGAAACTATGGATACTAGGTGGTTGGGAGGCTGAAACTATGGATACTAGGTGGCTGGGAGGCTGACACTATGGATACTGGGTGGCTGGGAGGCTGAAACTATGGATACTGGGTGGCTGGGAGGTTGAAACTATGGATACTAGGTGGCTGGGAGGCTGAAACTATAGATACAGGGTGGTTGGGAGGCTGAAACTATGGATACTATTTGGCTGGGAGGTTGACACTATGGATACTGGGTGGCTGGGAGGTTGAAACTTTGGATGCCGGGTGGCTGGGATGTTGAAACTATGGGTGCTTGGTGGTTGGGATGCTGAAACTATGGATGCTGGGTGGCTGGGAGGCTGAAACTATGGATGATGGGTGACTGTGAGGTTGAAACTATGGATACTGGGTGGCTGGGAGGTTTAAACTATGGATACTAGGTGGCTGGGATTTTGAAATTATGGATGCTGGGTGGCTGGGAGGCTGAAACAATCGATACTGGCTGGTTGCGAGGCTGAAACTATGGATTCTGGGAAGTTGAAACTATGGATATTAGGTGGTTGGGAGGCTGAAACTATGGATGATGGGTGGCTGTGAGGTTGAAACTATGGATACTGGGTGGCTGGGAGGTTGAAACTATGGATACTGGGTGGCTGGGATTTTGAAATGATGTATGCTGGGTGGCTGGGAGGGTGAAACTATGGATACTGGCTGGTTGGGAGGCTGAAACTATGGATTTTGGAAAGTTGAAACAATGGATACTAGGTGGTTGGGAGGCTGAAACTATGGATACTAGGTGGCTGGGATGCTGAATCTATGGATACTGGGTGGCTGGGAGGCTGAAACTATAGATACAGGGTGGTTGGGAGGCTGAAACTATGGAAACTAGGTGGCTGGGAGGTTGAAACTATGGATACTGAGTGGCTGGGAGGTTGAAACTATGGATGCCGGGTGGCTGGGATGTTGAAACTATGGGTGCTTGGTGGTTGGGATGCTGAAACTATGGATGCTGGGTGGCTGGGAGGCTGTTAACTATGGATGCTGGGTGGCTGGGATGCTGAAATTGTGGGTGCTTGGTGGTTGTGATGCTGAAACTATGGATGCTGGGTGGCTGGGAAGCTGAAACTATGGATACTGGGTGGCTGTGAGGTTGAAAGTATGGATACTGGTTGGCTGGGAGGTTGAAACTATGGATACAGGGTGGTTGGGAGGTTGAAACTATACCGGGTGTTTGGGAGGCTGAAACTATGGATACTGGGTGACTGGGAGGTTGAATATATTGATACTGGGTGGCTGGGAGGCTGAAACTAACTCTGGGAGGCTGGGAGGCTGAATCTATGGATGCTGGCCGGCTGTGAGGTTGAAACTATGGATACCGGGTGCTTGGGAGGCTGAAACGATGGATACTGGGTGGCTGGGAGGTTCAAACTATACCGGGTGGCTTGGGAGGCTGAAACTATACCAGGTGTTTGGGAGGCTGAAACTATGGATACTGGGTGACTGGGAGGCTGAATCTATGGATGCTGGGTGGCTGGGAGGTTGAAACTATGGATACCGGGTGCTTGGGAGGCTGAAACGATGGATACTGGTTGGTTGGGAGGTTGAAACTATCGGTGCTTGGTGGTTGGGATGCTGAAACTATGGATACTGGTTGACTTGGAGGTTGGATCTATTGATACTGGGTGGCTGGGAGGTTGAAACTATACTGGGTGTTTGGGAAGCTTAAACTATACCAGGTGTTTGGGAGGCTGAAACTATGGATACTGGGTGGCTGGGAGGCTGAATCTATGGATGCTGGGTGGCTGGGAGGTTGAAACTATGGATACCGGGTGCTTGGGAGGCTGAAACTATGGATACTGGTTGGTTGGGAGGTTGAAACTATGGGTGCTTGGTGGTTGGGATGCTGAAACTATGGATACTGGTTGACTGGGAGGTTGAAACTGGATACTTGGTGGCTGGGAGGTTGAAACTGTGGATGCTGGGTGGCTTGGAGGCTGAAACTATGGATGCTGTGTGGCTGGGATGTTGAAACTATGGATTCTGGGTGGCAGGGAGGTTGAAAGTATGGATACTTGTTGGCTGGGAGGTTGAAACTATGGATACAGTGTGGTTGGGAGGTTGAAACTATGCCGGGTGTTTGGGAGGCTGAAACTATGGATACTGGGTGACTGGGAGGTTGAATCTATTAATACTGGGTGGCTGGAAGGTTGAAACTATGGATGCTGGGTGGCTGGGAGGCTGAAACTGGATACTTGGTGGCTGGGAGGTTGAAACTATGGATTCTGGGTGGCTGGGAGGCTGAAACTAAGGATACTTGGTGGCTGGCAGGTTGAAACTATGGATTCTGGGTGGCTGGGAGGCTGAAACTATGGATACTGGGTGGTTGGGAGGTTGAAACTATGGATGCTGGGTGGCTGGGAGGCTGAAACTATGGATACTGGGTGGTTGGGATGTTGAAACTATGGATACTGGGTGGCTGGGAGGTTGAAACTATGGATGCTGGGTGGCTGGGAGGCTGAAACTATGGATAATGGGTGGTTGGGAGGTTGAAACTATGGATACTGGGTGGCTGGGAGGTTGAAACTATGGATACTGGGTGGCTGGGAGGCTGAAACTATGGATTCTGGGTGGCTGGGAGGTTGAAACTATGGATACTGGGTGGCTGGGAGGTTGAAACTATGGATACTGGGTGGCTGGGAGGCTGAAACTGGATACTTGGGGGCTGGGAGGTTGAAACTATGGATACTTTGTGGCTGGGAGGCTGAAACTTGCTCTGGGAGTCTGGGAGGCTGAAACTAACTCTGCCATAAACCAGACATGAATGCTGTGAATGCTGTGTTTATGAGGGGTATCAGAGAAGGATTGTGTGTGTTTGTGTCTTTGTGTGTGTGTTTGTGTCTTTTTGTGTTTGTTTGTGTGTTTGTGTGTGTGTGTTTGTGGGCCCTATAACCTTGGCAGAGAGCTTTACGACATGCAAATCATGTGCCTTTCAGACAAGTTGGTCAGGGCTGCTATTGGTTAATGTTTGACTTCACCTCTCTACACTGCTATTTTTCTAGGATGGTTTGGTCAGCATTTCAAAATGATTTATTATGATATTGCAGCAATTTCAGGGGGTAGCCAAATGGCACTGGAATCAAACCAGATCCATGTGTTTGTAAGTCTTACACCTTAGCCTTGAGAAATGTTAACATAGTAATATCATAGTGATATATCTCATCTGATGTGTGTATGTGTGTATTTCAGCGGTTCAGAATGAGAGAGATCGTATCAGCTCTAGAAGAAGCGTTCAGGACAATCAGGATCTCCTACCTATCACTATTCTGGCCCAAGCAGAGTCACTGTCTCAGCAGGTAACACACACACACACACACACACACACACACACACACACACACACACACACACACACACACACACACACACACACACACACACACACACACACACACACACACACACACAATTGCTCTAAGTAATCATTATCAGGTCACTGTAGAAGGTGGTTCATATCTTCATGATTGTTTCCATTCGTCTGCATGACATCTCACTCCCCTCTCTCTCTAGATCAGTGTATCTAGTCCCAGTGGTGCAGTAGATGTATCAGAACAGAAGTCGGCTGGTGTGGGTGATGTCTGTGACTCCATGAGACAACAGCTGCTTGTGTTGGTGGAATGGGCCAAGTACATTCCTGCCTTCGGAGAGCTGCCCCTGGACGACCAGGTACACACCCTGACTAGGCTAGGCCAACCAACTACACGACTACCAAGAAGTGACTGGAACTGGAACTGAAACTAAACAGTGGTTACCAAAGACTCAACTAAAGGCTTTTGAATGTGCCTGTGACCTTCCAGAAACACAAAGTAATATTTCTTCAGTCCGTAGCTAATGGTTTAGAGTCACATGATGCTGAGATGTTTGGTCACTGATGTCCTTGTTTCTCACGCTGTGTGTGTGTTTTGTGTGTGTGTGTGTGTGTGTGTGTGTGTGTGTGTGTTTTGTGTGTGTGTGTGTGTTTGTCCAGGTGAGTCTGCTCAGGGCTCATGCAGGGGAACACCTTCTACTTGGGGTCGCCAAGAGGTCAATGCCTTATAAGGACTTCCTGCTCCTTGGTAAGAACTGACCAATCACCTCTCCTTCATGCCTCAGTAACACCCAGTCAAAACTTGCCATACTGCTTTGCCAAGCTTGTTTTAAGGCTAACAGGTCGTTGCCCTGCAAGACTGTTATTCACCCTGATAATCATTGACTCAAGGCTTTGTCTATGGAGGCCTCTGACTTAAACACTTCTTATCAGAGAGAAATACATGGAAGACACTTTACTTGGATTGCCCCTACAGATGATTTGTAAAACTATCCAAATAATGAGTTAGTAAGTGGTGATACCATCACTCAGACGCAGGTACTAACACACACACACCATCACACACACACACAGTAATACAATGCTATTTATCTGGAAACAAATGAATAACAGACATTCAGAATGCACTCAGCATGTACTGCACTGACACAACTGACTGATGATTGGTTGAAAGAAATGGATAATAATAAGATAGTGGGAGCGGTTAGATTTCACTGCAGCCTTTGATATTATTGACCAATAACCTGCTGTTGAGAAAAGTTATGTGTTATGGCTTTTCAGCCATATCGTGGATTGGGAGCCACAGTATCTCAATGTAATATAACAGAGGGTTTTCTTTAATGGAAGCTTCTCTAATGTCAAACATGTGAAGTGTGGTGTACACAAAATAAAAAAGAATAATTAATGTGTTGGAAATTCCAAATAGTTTGCATAGTCAACTTACACACAGCACTGACACACACACTTACCCCACCAGACATGCCACCAGGGGTCTTTTCCCAGTCCCCAGGTCCAGAACAAATTCAAGGAAGCATACAGTATTATACAGAGCCATTATTGCATTAGCGCAAGTGAACAGCAAACCTGGTTTCAAAAAAACTAATAAAGCAACACCTCACGGCACAACGCCTCTCCCCATGTGACCTACTTGTTGTGTGTATGTACTGACATGTATGTGTAACTGATAGATGCTCACACACTACATGTTCAAATGGATGTATTTTTGTCTGTAATGTCTTTTTTGTTATGTGTCGGACCCCAGCAAGACTAGCTGTCGCCATTGGTGTCGGCTAATGGGGATCCTGATAAATCTAATCAAAAACCAAATCACTAACAGACACACACAAACAGTACATCCCCCATAACACGTGGAAAACACACACTCAACCCCCCTCCCAAAACACACACTGATCTCCCCCCCCCCTCCCTCTCCAGGTAATGGGTGTGTGATCCATGGTAGCAGTGCGGAGCCGGAGATGGGTCGTGTAGCTAACCGTGTTCTAGGTGAGCTGGTCCTGCCCTTCCAGGACATCCAGATAGATGACAATGAGTATGCTGCTCTCAAGGCCATCGTCTTCTTTGACCCTGGTAAGCACTTTAACGCCTCCGTACCAGGCAACCTTCCACACACACCACACACACTTTTACACACCACACACACTTTTACACACCACACACACTCATACACACCACACCACACCCACACACATCATAACAACAACCACACACACCACACCACCTGTTAACACAACCACAACACTACACTTTTACACAACACACACCACACCACACACCACTCATACCACCACCACACACAAACCACACAGACACACCCACAGCCACACTTTACACACCTACACACACCACACACACTCATCCACACGCACACACCAGCTCATACACATCACAACACAACTTTGCCACCCCACCACACCCACACTACACTCTTACACACCACCACACACAACACTCAATCACACCACCCACACAACCACACACCCCCATAGGCACACCACACACACTTTACACACTTTACACCACACACACCATACACCACACCACACCATACCACACCACACCAATCACACACCACACACACACCCCACACCCCACACACCACACAATAGCTTTATTTATTCAATCGAACAAAGTTAATTTGAATGGTTTTGTTAATCATTGACATGTGACTGTTCTCTGTTCCCTTTGTTCCACCAGACACCAATAGTCTTCACACATTCATATCATATCATTCACCCATACATTTTCTCCCTCTCCCTCCACCCCTTCATCCGTTCATCCCTCCTTCTCTCCAGATGCCAAGTCTCTGCGTGATCCGTCGAAGATCAAGGCGATGCGTCTGCAGGTCCAGATGAGTCTAGAGGACTATATTAACGACCGTCAGTATGACTCCAGAGGGAGGTTTGGAGAGCTGCTGCTACTGCTGCCTACTCTACAGTCCATCACCTGGCAGATGATAGAACAACTGCAGTTTGTTAAACTCTATGGCCTGGCCAAGATCGACAACCTACTGCAGGAGATGCTGCTGGGAGGTGGGTGTATGATAACAGAACATTGATAATATTGATAAGCAATATAGATGTTATGACGCTACTTTGAGGTGAGTAGTAGTAGTGTACATTAAAGGTGGACGAAAGCAAATATCTTCTCCTGTGTCCTCATTGGCTGGTTTGTCTGCCTGTCTCCAGGTCTGGCTTCAGAGGCAACCCACCTGCACCACCCAGGTCACACCCAGTTAGCCCAGGACCCTTTGACTGGACACACACTGGTCATCAGCACCATGGGGGCACCCCCACTTCTCAAAAGGGAAGAAAAAAAAAAAAAAAACACAAAAAAAAAAAAAAAAAGGGGGAGAGTTTGGGCATCATGGCAACCCCCCAACCATGAAGCTCATTTTATACGAATCCCCTTTTCCAACTCCCCTTTCCAAACCCCCAACTCCACAAAAAAAAAAAAAAAACCCAAAAAAAAAAACCCCAAGAAAAAACCAACAAAGGGGAAAAAAAAAAACCCCAACACACAGCCAGAACAAAAAAGAAAAGAAAAGAAAACCCCCCAAAACAAAGCAACAAAAGAAAAAAAAAAAAAAAAGGGAAAAAAAAAGAAGGTAAAAAAAAAAAAAAACGAAAAAAGAACAAAAAAACAAAAGAAATATACCACATCAAAAAAACAGAAATAAAAAAAACAACCTTCTACAACCCCAAAAAAAAATCCAACACCAAAAAAAAAACCACCCTCAACCCCCCCCAACCCCCCCCCCACCCCCCCCCCCCCCCCCCCCCCCCCCCCCTTCACTCCCATCTTCTCTCTTCACAGCGTCTCCAGACACTCCTATCCCGTCTCCTCCTCAGGGTCCAGAGATGTACAAGTCCTCTTCTAGCCCCTCCCTCCTGGTGGCCCCGCCCCTCCCACACAGACGTACCCACGATCCCTCCCTCTGAGTGTACAGCACCCGACCCGCGAATAACAAAACAGACAAAACATACTGTCAGCCATGAATGCAACCAAAACTACAGAAAGCCTGTTCGATGGGCCAAATACTAATTTGAGATCTACATTCCATGCGTAACTTGTAAACCATGCATTCAAATCAAATCAAATGTATTTATCAAGCCATTTTAACATCAGCAGATGTCACAAAGTGCTATACAGATACCTAGCCTAAAACCCCAAAAAGCAAGCAATGCAGATGTAGAAGCACGATCAATGGTAGTTTCAAAACTTGAGTTTGCCCTATGTGTTTAAAGGTGTAAAATATTTGATGTTTTCTCTCCATTCAGTGCCATAGGTTTTCACTCCAGTTCAGGAGTCTAGAAATGGAGTAATCTGTGTAAATTGTAGCATCTATAAATCATTAGAATATTCCTAGTCTCTGACCCTCTGTTATCATGATGTAAATGGGAGTGTGTATTTGAGCTTTCCATAGGCTCATCATTGAAGATGGAGCGAGAGATTTGTAAATCACCATGTACATTATATACAGTATGTGTTACTCAAAGTGATTAGGACTGTGTTTGGAACACATGATGTTCACGTGTTGCCACGTTGCTTGTATAACTATGTATAACTAACCATACATTTAGTTCCTAATCAACTCTGCAGTGGCTTTCAGTCTTTTGAGATTACTGTCATGATATGAAATTATATGACATTTTTCAAATTTGGTGTTTAAATTCAATTGAATATGTCAAATGAATCTTATTGGCCTTCGTTAGACTGTCGAATAGTGTATACAAATTAGAAAATGTAAGCTGTATATTGTCATTGAAACAGAACACTATTTTCAATGAATTGTAGCCTCTGCTTTTGTAGGCTTTTGCATGAACATGGACATAGTTATGAATAAATACACACCGTAACAGAACTAACCCAGCAACCACGGTGACCCACAGCAGAGAAAAATATGGGTACTGGTTCCCCCATGTGGTTTAAATAGAAATAACAATCCTGCAATCACTAGATGGCCAAGGTGTCAATAATTGTCAGAGCTGATGATAAAGTATGTGAGGTGTTTGTTATTAATTAACTGAGTATTTTATATGATAATAATATATAAATAATAATATAGATAGGTTCCATATTCCATATGCTCCGTGACCTTTCACCCGACGGCTCCTATCACTGCTCTATTGGTCTGGGATATGTGGTGTGTGTCCATTTCTGTATTGGTCTGGGATATGCTGTTTGTTGATATGAGTTGAGTGAAAGTTGATACCAGCTGATGCTCATTTTGCCCTCTCACCTAAAAGAAAATGAGAAAACACAAACATAGTCTAGAAATAAATAAACCCTACTCGTACTGAATGCTTTAGTGTGGTATGTTTACACTCAGGCTTGGGTAAGTTACTTTCCAAATGTAATCCGTTACAGTTACCTGTCCAAAATTGTAATCAGTAAGTAACATTTGGATTACCCAAACTCAGTAACGTAATCTGATTACATTCAGTTACTTTTAGATTACTCTCCCCTTAAACGGCATTAGAAGAAGGCAAAAATGAATATGACCAATTGAACAAAATGATTGCAGGATAAATCAATGTTAGAGTTTCCATAGCTGGCCATAAATGGATGTTGCATTTTACTTTATGGGTTATGTAGGCTTCTTCTAACCCATTGCTCTCTAATTCAATACAGATAATAAAACGATTAGGGTATATCTTTACATTAAAAACCAATTTCTGTCACATTTCCAGTCATTCCAATTAATTGAATCTTCAACAATAGGACTTAGAAATATGGAAATATAGATTAGCCAAATTGTTTTACCTGAGCGTTATCCAAAAATTAAGGACTTATTATCCTACACTGTTGTTCATTTTGTTGTAATGGAGGACTGGTTGGGCTCATTGCTTTGAGTAAAAAAATAAATGCTGCTCTCATGGAATGACATGCTTTGAGCACTACCGAAAAGTGCTATTTGCATGTGAAAAATTAATGCCATATGCTGCATTTGCTCTAGGCCTATTGTTTACGCGTTTGTTGGTGACACTATGATATCTCAATAATTTGCAACTGTTTAAATCTATTAAAAGTGTGCGAATTTGAGCATGTGTTCATTAGGGCTATGGAGATTTTTTTTGAATCAGTACGAATTAGATTGAGCAATTAAAGCCCCACTTGTGGTCTTCTTAAATTCAACTGGTTTTTGACAGTATGTGGAGCACAATATGGAGGAGTTTAGAAGAGAGGAACTCCCTCAAACATTTATTCCATAGGCTGGGATCAGCACTATGCAGCTCTTTCAAGAGCGCACTTTTCACTGTCTGTCCACTGGTTGCAAAAACAATGATTGATAGGCAGCTTAAACTTCTTCAATTCAACCATTATTGGGTTAAAATGCACATTTGTGAACAGCCATCCACAACAACCACAATCCGTAAGCCGCAAATAGCTAAATGAGAGAGCAGCAGTGTGATTCACGTCAATGCGCTATGTAGATATCAATAATAAGTGATATCCGTATCGCCGTAAGCTACACCACTGTCGTCATCCTAACCTCCAAGCGTTTATTCAAATTGGATGTAGAATATCTGGATGCCGACAGCAGTCGCACCGTTGGAAGACATAGCTTGGACTGTAGCCTACAAAGAAAGCATATTCCTGCTTTTTCCACAATCCATCAGCATTGGTGTGTCATCGTACAGTGACTGAAATGACTGCAACACTTAACAAAGAGTTGCAGTTAGTTTCAGAGTGGGTGGCAATGAATAAATGAGTCCTAAATATTTCTAAAACTAAAAGCATTGTATTTGGGACAAATCATTCACTAATCACTAAACCTCAACTAAATCTTGAAATAAACAATGTGGAAATTGAGCAAGTTGAGGAGACTAAACTGCTTGGAGTAACCCTGGATTGTAAACTATCATAGTCTAAACATATTGATTCAACAGTTGCTAAGATGGGGAGAAGTCTGTCCATAATAAAGCGATGCTCTAGCTTCTTAACAGCACTTTCAACAAGGCAGGTCCTACAGGACCTAGTTTTGTCGCACCTGGACTACTGTTCAGTCGTGTGGTCAGGTGCCACAAAAAGGGACTTAGGAAAATTGCAATTGTCTCAGAACAGGGCAGCACGGCTGGCCCTTGGATGTACACAGAGAGCTAATATTAATAATATGCATGTCAATCTCTCCTGGCTCAAAGTGGAGGAGAGATTAACTTCATCACTACTTGTATTTATGAGAGGTATTGACATGTTGAATGCACAGAGCTGTCTGTTTGAACTACGGACACCCATGCATACCCCACAAGACATGCCACAAGAGGACTCTTCACAGTCCCCAAGTCCAAAACAGACTATGGGAGGCGCACAGTACTACATAGAGCCATGACTACATGGAACTCTATTCCACGTCAAGTAATTGATGCAAGCAGTAAAATGAGATGAAAAAAAAAACTGATAAAAAAACACCTTATGGAACAGCAGGGACCATGAAGCAACACAAACATAGACACACACACATACACACACACACGTACACATGGATTTTGTACTGTAGATATGTGGTGGAGTAATGGCATGAGGGCACACAGTGTGTTGTGAAATCTGTGAATGTATTGTAATGTTTTTAAAATTGTATAAACCGCCTTAATTTTACTGGACACCAGGAAGAGTAGCTGCTGCCTTGGCAGCAGCTAATGGGGATCCATAATAAATACAAATACGAATGCAAATAGTGGTCTCTGACTCAGGCGTAAACTTTTTTCAATGCTGATTTGAATGTCTTTGAGAAATAAAATGTGTAATATTTTTTTTCTCTCACAAACATCCTTTCTGAATAGAAAAGTAATCATAGAAGCAATCATCTAGTTTTTCAAAAGTGTCTGTAATCTGATTACAGTATTTTTTGCTGGTTAAGTAATGGATAACTGTTATAGTTTTTGTTGTTGTATTCAGTTACATGTAATCCGTTACTCCCCAACCCTGTTTACACTGACGCCTGTCCTATTCTATTCTGTGTGTGTGGGAGGGAGATGATGGTGTCTGAAATCAACATGGCAAAAAACCCCTCTATCAACTCTATAATGAAGTAGGAAACCATGTCAGGTTTAAACAACATTGCATGGTGTGTTTGTGTGCGTATGTCTTTGTGTATGTATGTGTTTGTGTGTATGTGTATGTGTGTGTGTGTGTTTGTGTGTATTTGCATGTGTATGTGTGTGTGTGTTTCTGTGTGTGTGTGTGTGTGTGTGTGTGTGTGTGTGACTCTGGCTCCTGTAGCAGACAAACCTGCGTGTTAAAATGCTGGTCACATATCTCATCTCAGACAACCCCCCTTGCACCCCCCCCCCCCCCCCCCCCCCCCCATACCCCCTCCAAAAGCACACTCACACACACCCCGCTCGTCTCACACTGACAGCTCTGTATCACTACCCAGCATGTACATGGAGGGATGGAAGGATGGAGGGAGGGAGGGATGGAGCGGAATAATCATCTTTGCCTTTTCATTGTTCTACACATCAATTCTTTGTGTGGTTTTGGTGATGATGAAGGCAATGGCAGAGAATTACAGTTTATAACCTGCCCAATCTTAAATTAACCCCTGGCTAATATCCCCTGGGCATATATTTGTACACCTCCATTCCTTTCCTATGCTGTATATATCCAATCTTTCCCGCTCTACACACAGTGCCTCAGAGCTGGGGGCTTGGTGTTGATACACGATCAGGAATCAGGCAGCTTGTCATACAGAACTTTACCACCAGATGGCAGTATTACTCTATAGTATCCTTTTAAAAGCCTTTCCTCTCTGCCTCTCGATATTGGCAGTTATGAATTAGCTAAAACCCCCCAGTCAACATTATCTGACTATGTTAGAAAGAATGGACATTCTTTGTAAAGTTATTTTACCTTCCTTACTAAGTCTAACCTTAAAGCTCATATAGGGTAGTATAAGTTGCTTAATCGGTGGTTAGGCTATTAGCTGACGAAAATTAGGCTACATGAAAATTGCAGTACTGTTAATATAACTGTGTATTAGTGCGGGTCTTCAATGAATTTATGTCAATAATGAAGCTAATCTGCATTTCCTGTGGTGCAGGAACATTCTCTGCAACAAAAGAGTGATCAAATTAATATCCTACATCTGTAGGTACAGTTTAAAATGAATGGCGTGTGTCACCAGTTCCAGATTAGGGAAGAGATTGCAGCCAGTAATTTGTCACACATTCATTTACCCACAATTCCTCTCTCTCTGTCTTTCTCCTCTAACCCAGCGGAAGGAGTAGGAATCTTTTTCTCACACCAGAATTAATTTAGAACCTGCTATAGGTCGTTATCAATAAAACATCCCAATACGGTGCAATACCCTGCTGGGGAGACCCCCAGCTCCGCTAAAACCATTGACAACTGCGTGCCGTTTTCAAGGGATTGTTAAATAAATGTTTACTATTTGGTTGTAATATCATCACCTCTTGAAGAGCACAGACAGAACTACAAATTTCCTTCCCTTACTTATCTGAAATTACATGATCAATTTATGTTTACTGTTCATGAAAAGCATGCTGTTTCTTGCTGTATAACACTGACGATAGAGCTAAATGTGGATTAATGGGAAATGTGTAGTTCTGTCTATGTTCTTCAAGAGATGATGATTAATTTATTTAAGCAGCATAGATCAAAGCAGAACAAAACCCAAACTATGTTGTGCTCAAAATATATCTTCATAAACACAGGGCAAACCAAAAGTGCAAAATATAAAGTACTCAGGAAATAGTAAGCGAGATCTCAGGAAACACTTTACAATGACCGACAAAGACAAATGGCAGAGGGAGTATATTTATACAGTGATAGAGTAGGGATTGGAACCAGGTGTGTGTAATGATGACGAGACAAGTCCGGGGTTGATGAGTGAAGGGCGTTTACCAGCAGTAGGTTCGGCAGCAGCTAGAAGGCCGGCAACGCCTGAGCTGGACAGGAGGGGGAGCCAAAGCAAAGGCTGGTGTGACAGTTACAAGAAAATGGCACGCATTCTCTTTGCCCCCCCCCCCCAGCAGCCAAATAGAACACTCTGCACCGTATTGTGATGTTTTATTGATAACTACCTATTTTCCAGAATTATTTGAAAACCTTTTTCAGACTCCCCGAAACTGCTCCCCTCTGGGTTAGGAGGCCCGGCGTTGTCGTACCGGCCTTTAGCCACTGCCGTCCCTATTTCTCCCTTTTTTTTTTTCCCCCCCTTTTTTCC